TCATTCCCAGGGGACACCCCTTCTTCTTTCCATGGGAGGGAGCTCTTTTCTCTTTTTTTAGGTGATAAAATTTTTAAAAGCTGGGAACAAAATAGGCCTCAAAAAAATTTCTATGTCTTTTTTTTCTTTTTTTTTAAAAATATAGGTTTTTCTGAATTAAAGACGAGGGCAGGGGCCGTAAAACCCCAGTTCCCCCGTCCCCCCGCTGCCCACCCACCCGCTCCCCCCCCCCGTTGTCCGTGTCCATTGGTTAGACCTATATGCTTGCATGTAAGTCCTTTGGTTGATCTTTCCCCCTTACCCCCACCCTCCCCTACCTTCCCTCCAAGGCCCGACAGTCCAATCAATGCCTCTCCGTCTCTGGATCAGTCCTTGTTCATCAGTTTATGATGTTCATTATATTCCACAAATGAGTGAGATCATGTGGTATTTATCCTTCTCTGACTGGCTTATTTCACTTAGCATAATACTCTCTAGTTCCATCCATGGTGTGGCAAATGGTAAGAGTTCCTTTTTCTTCTTCCTCTTCTTAAAGAATACCTTTCAGCATTTCATATAATGCTGGTTTGGTGGTGATGAACTCCTTTAGCTTTTTCTTATCTGTGAAGCTCTTTATCTGACCTTCAATTCTGAATGATAGCTTTGCTGGATAAAGTAATCTTGGTTGTAGGTTCTTGCTGTTCATCACTTTGAATATTTCTTGCCACTCTCTTCTGGCCTGCATGGTTTCTGTTGAGAAATCAGCTGACAGTTGTATGAGTACTCCCTTGTAGGTAACTGACTTTTTTTCTCTTGCTGCTTTTAAAATTCTCTCTTTGTCTTTTGCTCTTGGCATTTTAATTATGATGTGTCTTGGTGTGGTCCTCTTTGGATTCCTTTTGTTTGGGGTTCTCTTCGCTTCCTGGACTTGTAAGTCTATTTCTTTCATCAGGTAGGGAAAGTTTTCTGTCATTATTTCTTCAAATAGGTTTTCAATATCTTGCTCTCTCTCTTCTTCTGGTATCCCTATAATTCGGATGTTGGTACGCTTGAAGCTGTCCCCGAGGCTCCATACACTATCTTCGTATTTTTGGATTCTTTTTTCATTTTGCTTTTCCGGTTGGGTGTTTGTTGCTTCTTCGTATTTCAAATCTTTGACTTGATTCTTGCGATCCTCTGGTCTGCTGTTGAAAGTCTGTATAATATTCTTTATTTCAGTCAGTGTATGCTTAATTTCTAGTTGGTCCTTTATCACAACATCGAGGGTCTCATTAGTTTTCTTGAGGATCTTACTACGTTTATCGGCGGTCTCACCAGTCTTTTCGAGGGTCTTACTAAATTTATCGGCGGCTTCTAGACAGTTCTTGAGAGACCTTAAAAGTGTGGTTTTGAACTCTATATCCAGCAGTTTGCTTTCCTCCATTTCTGTCATTTGTGTCCTGTTTCTTTGTCTCGGCATTTTTTATGCTTTGCTGTGTCAATAGAGTGGCTTTCTGTGCTAAATGACCCAATTACCTGAGGTAGACACTCTTGGTGCACCCCCTTGTGGGCTTTGTGCACAGTCTTGTTGTAGTTAAGCCTTGATTGTTGTATGTAAAGCTGGGAGGATTTGACCTCCAAGCCCATTGGCTGTGAGAATCAGCTGTGTCTGCAGTGGGAGAACTTCTGTGCTGAAGACACTCTTATGGGGCAAGACTTGCTTCAATGGGGCTTTGGTGCTCACTGAGTCTGCCCCCTGAGTGTGTCCCTTATAGATCTGAGTAGTTGTAATTGGATGGTCCCACTCTGACCACTGGGTACACTGGCTCTTGGATCTAAGGAGGTGCTAATCTAGCCTTTGCCTGAGGCTACCCAGCAGAAGCCAGCTGTAAAGCAATGCAAGTTGCCCTGGGGCCTTGGGGCCACTTCAGTTTGTTAAGTTATTTTCAGATAACAAAGGGCCGGGCCTTTCATATGCAAAAGCCTCGATGTATGGCTTGGGCGGGGCGGGGTCCCAGGGGATCAACAGGGTGGGCCGAGCCAGCCAGCAGTATGGCTGCTCTCAGTCCTGCCTTCAGAGGTCCTGGCAATCGCTGAGAGTGCCTCCAAGAGAAAGCTGCCCTTGAGTTCTGACCGATGCCAGACAGTCCCCTTTCTCCCGTGTGAGTCTGGGTCCCCAAAGACTCGCCTGGAACTGGAGCTCAGAGCCTGAGACTTCCTCCCAATTGAAAAAGACAATTGTGTCCTCAGCCGCCAGCCCTCTCCGCATGCACCTCCGCACCTTTGTATTTACTTCAGCACTGCACCTCCTCTGAGTCTCGGTATGCTTTTCTCTTTCCTTCTAGTTGTAGAAATTCCACTCAGCCAGCCTTCCTGTGGTTCTGGATGATGTCAGTTATGTCTTTTAGTTGTATTTTTGAAGTGGTTGTGCAAGGCAGCAATCTCCGGTGTTTACCTATGCCGCCATCTTGGTTTCTCCATCCACTTTCACCACTCTTATTCAACACAGTACTGGAAGTCCTAGCCACAGTGATCAGACAGTAAGAAATAAAAGGCATCCAAATGGGAAAGGAGGAAGTAAAACTCTCATTATTTGCAGATCACATGATATTGTAAATAGACAACTCTAAAGACTCCAACAAACAACTACTAGATTTAATAAATGAATTTGGCAATGTAGCAGGATACAAAGTTAACACCCAGATATCGATGGCATTTTTATACACCAATAATGAATTCTCATAAAGAGAAACTAAACAAACAATCCCATTTAACATTGCAACAAAAAAATTAAGATACTTAGGAATAAAGTATCTTAAAGTATCCTTTAACAAAGGAGATAAAAGACTTGTACTTGGAAAACTATAGGATGTTGAAAAAAGAGATAGAGGAAGATATAAACAAGTGGAAGAATATACCATGTTTATGGATTGGTAGAATTAACATCATTAAAATGTCTGTATTACCCAAAGAAACCATACGGATTCAGTGCAATCCCTATTAAAATACCAACGGCATGTTAAAAAGATCTAGAACAAACACTACAAAAATTTATATGGAACCAAAAAAAGACCCCACGTAGCCACAGCAATCTTGAGAAAGAACAAAGTTGGAAGAATCACAATACCAGATATCAAGTTATACTCAAAACAGCCTGGTAATAGCACAAGAACAGGCATATAGTTTGATGGAACAGAACAGAGACCCCAGAAATCGACCCAAGTTTACGCTCAGTTAATATTTGACAAAGTAGATATGTGCATATAATGTAGTCAAGATAATCTCTTCAATAAATGGTGTTGGGAAAATTGAACAGGTACATGCAAAAAAATGAATAAACTCAAGATGGATAAAAGACTTAAATGTAAGTCATGAAACCATAAAAATCCTAGAAGAAACTATAGGCAACAAAATCTCAGACATCTCTCATAGCAATATGTTTATGGATACATCTCCTCGGACAAAGGAAACTAAGGAGAAAATAAATGAGACTACATCAAAATATGGTAAAAAAAAAAAAAAAAACTTTTGCACAGGAAAAGAAACCATCAACAAAATGACAAGAGAGCCCACACATGGGAGAACATATTTGGCAATGATACATCTGATAAAGGGATAATATCCAAAATATATAAGGAACTCATACAGCTTAAAAAAAAAGAAGACAAACAATCCAATTAAAAAGTGGGTAAGGGACCTGAATAGACTCTTTTCCAAAGTGGAGATTAAAAAAAGGCCAAGAGACATATGAAAAAATGCTCAAAGTCACTAATCATAGGAGAGATGCAAATTAAAATGACAATGAGGTATCACCTCACACCTGTCAGAATGGCTACCATCAACAAATTAACAACAACAAGTCTTGGTGAGGATGTGGAGAAAAGGGAACGCTAGTACACTGCTGACTGGTGCAGCCACTATGGAAAACAGTATGGAATTTCCTCAAAAAAATTAAAAATGGAACTGCCATTTGACCCAGTGATCCCACTTCTAGGAATATATCCTAAGAAACCTGAAACAGCAATGAGAAAGAATACTATGCACCCCTATGTTCATAGCAGCAGAATTTACAATAGCTAAGATCTGGAAACAGCCCAAGTGCCCATCAGTAGATGAGTGGATAAAAAAGCTGTGGTACATTTATACCATGGAATACCATGCAGCAGTAAAAAAAGAATCTCTTACCCTTTGAGACAGCATGGAGGGGCCTGGAGAGTATCATGCTAAGTGAAATAAGCCAGTCAGAGAAAGACAAGTATCACATGATCTCACTCATATGTGGAATCTTATGAACAAAATAGATCCAGAGACATAGACACATGGAGCAGACTGTGGAGTCTCAGAGGGAAGGCGGGGAGGGTGGGTGGGTGGGAAGAGATCAACCCAAGAACTTGTATGCATCTATGCATAACTATGGACACAGATAATTGGGTGGTGAAGGCCTAGGGTGGGGGACGAAGGCTGACTAGAAGTCAATGGGGGAATAAAGAGGAATATGTAATACTTTCAACCATAAAGATTTTTTTAATTGTATGGCCTGATAATGATGTTATAAATATCCAGCTGGCCCTTGGCAGGAAAAAGGTCCCCACCCCTGCTCCAGCCGTGCCCTGACAGGTGAGCTGAAGAGGTAACTCTCTGCCATGAACTTGACTAACTGCTCTCTTTCAGGGCTGGACTGGTGTGAGGACAACGGAGGGTGTGAGCAGATCTGCACCAGCCGGGTGGAGGGGCCCCTGTGCAGCTGTGTGACGGGCACCCTGCAAGAGGACGGCAAGAGCTGCCGAGGTAGATACCCCAATTCTTGGCTTCAGCTGGGGCGCAGGAACTTCCTCCCACTGAGAAGAGCACGTCATGACTGAGGCCAAGCAGCCAGCAACAGGCCTATAAAAATTCAGACATTAAGAAGGAACTATCTGAAAAACTCCTAAGAAATTTTAGCACCCTTTTGGTTTTTTGGGTTTTATTTAACCTTTGGGTCCCTGCTCTTTTACTAAAAGATGATGATTTTTAAAATCATTTAAAAATAATTATTTTTAAAAATAGTATTGGCTTTAAATCTGGCTGCCAACTCCACTGGCTGTGGTTGGGAGTGGAATGTTTGATTCAATAAATGCCACTTCCTACAGTGGCCTTCGCTCAGGGTCCCCCGGCACCACTGAGGCCAGCAGGCACCTCTGCAGGTTGGGTTAATTCTGCTTCTTCGTGGTCACGTGGACAAAATGTGTTCTTGGCTATTAGTTGGGAACTGCGAAGATCTCTGATCCTTATCAAACAGGATTTTTATAGGGCTCACTATGTGCCTTTCTCTTTACAGCCTCTAATTCTTCCACTGAGCGTCAAGTCTGGACACTGCTTCTCGTCATGACCCAGATTTCATTGTGGCATTTTGTGTATAAATCAGTCACGACCTCATAATTAACTCAAGGTTGCTATATGAAGTACTGTAATTTACATTTTTCCATTCCCTGTAGGATAAAAGGTGTGTGCCCTTAACTCACAACCTATTTCAAAGTGTCCAGAATCTCAACAGGATGCCACCTGCCTCAAATGATCAGAGATCTGGAGATGAGTGAAATTTCAAACTCCTCTTTCAAAGTACACAATGGGGCTTCCAAAGCCAGTTGTGGAAAGCATATATCTTGGTAAAAATTTTCAAACAGTGGTCACTAGAAACTGATTCACTCAAATAACCAATAAAGGACAAAATTCTGGTTAGAAACGTCTGACTGGAATCTGATCAGAGAATCTGTCCAGCCCGTGCTGTTTCCGGATCATAGGTTTTACGAAGAGGGAACAATGTGGAGAAGCAACAGCTGGGGGACCGACTCCCTCTGAGGACTCTTTCTCAGTTTGCAAGTGTCTGATCTCTGATCTGCGTGTTGCTCCCTTTCTGTATGATGAGCTCCTTCCCTACCCTCGTGTCCTCCAACCTCTCCATGAGCCTGGTCACTGGTATGTTGTTTGCAGACCTTGGGAGCCCTACCCACTTCCATTCCCTCAGACCCAATTCCTTCTCATTTTATAAATCAACCAAATAATTTTTTAATGTGTTTTATGCTTAAATAAACTTTGTGTTCAGTATTCTCGTTACTTGGTGGCTGAAATCATTCTTACCGATGTTGAGCCTGCGCACTAAATAGCAAGCTGTGATTTTAAAAGGAGGCCAGGTCTGCATGGCCCGAGCATCACTGCCTTTGTGCACTTGCCTGTGGCACTCACACAGCACTGCGGGCTGTAAGGAATCACGCAGAAGGAGGCAGGTGGCAGCCTCTTTGTAAGTAGTACAAGGTAAACCCACTCCAGGCTTATTTTGAAGTTGTTTTGGATTTAAGCTAATGGCAATTTTGATTTTTCCTGGAAGTCTGGAAAAAGCTGAGCAGAAATCCTGAGCGTCCTTAAATGTGCATGGGGATACCGGTCCTGTCTCTCGCACGTAGAGGCGCATGGCCCATCCCTGGTGAAAGCAGTGGGATGCGGACTGAGTCTGCACCAGCTGCCTTGTATTTTCTTGAGAAACAGTATGGAGGTTCCTCGAAAAAATAAAAATAGAGTTGAGGAGGAAGCAAGATGGTGGCATAGGTACACACCTGTACTTGCTGCCTTGCACAACCACATCAAAACTACAACTAAAAGACAAACGGATATCATCCAGAACCACGGGAAGGCTGGCCGAGTGGAAGTGCTACAACTAGAAGGAAAGAGAAAAGTGCATTGAGACTGGTAGGAGGTGTGAAGGTGCGGAAGTGCAGAGGTACGGAGGCGTGCACAGAAACGGGCTGGCAACTGGGTGCATTGTTGTCTTTTTCAATCGGGAGGGAGATACAAGCTCCCGATTGCTCTGAACTCCAGTTCTGGGGGGCGAGACTCTGGGGACCCAGACTCATACGGGGAGAAACTGGACTGTCTAGCATCAGCCGGAACTCAAGGGCGGCTTTCTCGCAGAGGTGCTTGCAGCGATCATTGTTCCTGCACAGGGCCGCCGGACACAGAGACCCAGGGATCTCTCTGAGGCAGGGCTGACTGGCAGCCATTGCGGTTTGCTCCGCCCTGATGTTTCCCTGAGACCCCGCCCCACCCAATTTACAACCCTACCCAAGCTGTGAGCAGAGGCTTTTGCATAGGAATGGCCTGTTCCTATGCAATCTAAAACCTAACAAACTGCTGCTGTGTCAAAGAGTGCCAAAGCTTCCAAAGAAGGCCTAAGGCTCGACAGCAGCCTACATTGCTTCACAGCTGGGCCTCATCTGGGCACTTCCAAACCCCAAACAAAGAGGAGGAATCTGAAGATATCTCTGTAGCTCCTGCTGGGTAGCCTCAGGAAGAGGCTAAATAAGCACCTCCTTGGATATCCAAGAGCCAGTGTACCCAGTGATCAGTGTGAGACCATACCAGATTTCAACTCTTCACATCCATAAGCGACACTCAAGGGGCAGACTCAGTGAGCACCCAAAGCCCCGCTGAAGCAAGTCCTGCCCCATAAGGGTGTCTCCAGCACAGCAGTTCTCCTATTGTAGACACAGCTGGTCCTCATAGCCAATTGGCCTGGTGGTCAATTCCTCCCAGTGATACCAATAGCAGTCAAGGTTTAACTACAACAAGACTGTGCACAAAGCCCACAAAGGGGTGCTCCAAGAGTGTCCACCTCAGGTAATTGGGGAGGCTGAGCCACTGGGCCCTATAGGACACCTAGCACAGAAAGCCACTCTGTCAACACAGGGAAGCAGCCAAAATGTGGTGATAAAGAAACAGGTCACAGATGACAGAAATGGAGGAAACCAAACTACTGGATAGAGAGTTCAAAACCACGGTTATAAGGTTTTTCAAGAATTTTCTAGAAACCGCCGATAAATTTAGTGAGACCCTCAATAACTCTAGTGAGACCCTCGAGGATATGAAAAAGGACCAACTAGAAATTAAGCATACACTGACTGAAATAAAGAATATTATACAGCGATCCGACAGCAGACTAGAGGATCACAAGAATCAAGTCAAAGATTTGAAGTACGAAGAAGTAAAAAACACCCAACCAGAAAAGCAAAAAGAAAAAAGAATACAAAAATATGAAGATAGTGTAAGGAGCCTCTGGGACAACTTCAAGTGAACCAACATCCAAATTATGGGGGTGCCAGAAGAAGAGAGAGAGCAAGATATTGAAAACCTATTTGAAGAAATAATGACAGAAAACTTCCCCTACCAGGTGAAAGAAATAGACTTACAAGTCGAGGAAGCGCAGAGAACCCCAAACAAAAGGAATCCAAAGAGGACCACACCAAGGCACATCATAATTAAAATGCCAAGGTCAAAAGACAAAGAGAGAATATTAAAAGCAGCAAGAAAAAAACATTTAGTTACCTACAAGGGAGTGGCCATATGACTGTCAGCTGATTTCTCAGCAGAAACTATGCAGGCCATAAGGGAGTGGCAAGAAATATTCAAAGTGATGAATAGCAAAGACCTACAACCAAGATTACTCTACCCAGCAAAGCTATCGTTTAGAATTGAAGGTCAGATAAAGAGCTTCACAGATAAGAAAAAGCTAAAGGAGTTCATCACCACCAAACCAGTATTTCATGAAATGCTGAAGGGTATTCTTTAAGAAGAGAAAGAAGAAAAAGGTAAAGATAAAAATTATGAACAGAGAGGAAACCAAGATGGCGGCATAGGTAAACACTGGAGTTTGCTGCCTTGAACAACCATTTCAAAAATACAACTAAAAGACGGAAAGGATATCATCCAGAACCACAGGAAGGCTGGCTGAGTGGAAATTCTACAACTAGAAGGAAAGAGAAAAGCATACCGAGACTCAGAGGAGGCGCAGTACAGAAGTAAAATACTAAGGTGCGGAGGTGCATGCAGAGCGGGCTGGCGGCTGAGGGCGCGATTGTCGTTTTCAATCGGGAGGGAGTCTCAGGCTCTGAGCTCCAGTTCCGGGGGAGTCTCTAGGGACCCAGACTCATACGGGAGAAGCGGGACTGTCTGGCATCGGTCAGAACCCGAGGGCAGCTTTCTCTCCGAGGGGCTTGCAGCGATTACCGGGACACTGAGAAGCAGAGCCTCTGAGGGCAAGACTGAGAGCAGCCATAACTGCTAGCCCCGCCCTGTTGATCCCGTGGGACCCACCCCGCCCAAGCCCTGCAAGGAGACTTTTGCTGGATAGCTGCCGGCAAAGGCTAGATTAGCACCTCCCTAGAGATCCAGGAGCCAGGAAACCCAGAAGTCAGAGTGGGACCATCCAGTTTGCAGCTCCGTGGAACCATAAAAGACACACTCAGGGGGCAGACTCAGTGAGCACCAAAGCCCCATTGAAGCAAGTCTTGCCCCAGAGGGGTGTCTCCAGCACAGAAGTTCTCCCACTGCAGACACAGCTGATTCTCACAGCCAACTGGCTTGGAGGTCAATTCCTCCCAGTGATAACTACAACAATCAAGGCTTAACTACAACAAGACTGTGCACAAAGACCACAAGTGGGTGCACCAAGAGTGTCTACCTCAGGTAATTGGGTCATTTAGCACAGAAAGCCACTCTATTGACACAGCAAAGCATAAAAAATGCCGAGACAAAGAAACAGGACACAAATGACAGAAATGGAGGAAAGCAAACTGCTGGATATAGAGTTCAAAACCACACTTTTAAGGTCTCTCAAGAACTGTCTAGAAGCCGCCGATAAATTTAGTAAGACCCTCGAAAAGACTGGTGAGACCGCCGATAAACGTAGTGAGATCCTCAAGAAAACTAATGAGACCCTCGATGTTGTGATAAAGGACCAACTAGAAATTAAGCATACACTGACTGAAATAAAGAATATTATACAGACTTTCAACAGCAGACCAGAGGATCGCAAGAATCAAGTCAAAGATTTGAAATACGAAGAAGCAACAAACACCCAACCGGAAAAGCAAAATGAAAAAAGAATCCAAAAATACGAAGATAGTGTATGGAGCCTCTGGGACAGCTTCAAGCGTACCAACATCCGAATTATGGGGGTGCCAGAAGAAGAGAGAGAGCAAGATATTGAAAACCTATTTGAAGAAATAATGACAGAAAACTTCCCCTACCTGGTGAAAGAAATAGACTTACAAGTCGAGGAAGCGCAGAGAACCCCAAACAAAAGGAATCCAAAGAGGACCACACCAAGACACATCATAATTAAAATGCCAAGAGCAAAAGACAAAGAGAGAATCCTAAAAGCAGCAAGAGAAAGAAAGTCAGTTACCTACAAGGGAGTACCCATACGACTGTCAGCTGATTTCTCAACAGAAACTTTGCAGGCCAGAAGGGAGTGGCAAGAAATATTCAAAGTGATGAATACCAAGAACCTACAACCAAGATTACTTTACCCAGCAAAGCTATCATTCAGAAGTGAAGGTCAGATAAAGAGCTTCACAGATAAGAAAAAGCTAAAGGAGTTCATCATC